ATATACTCTTTTTGGTCACCGAGACTCTGTACGTAGTAGACTAGCAGCAATTTGCGTATTGCACCAGTTGATTGTGTTATCATTCTACACAAGAATCTCCTCTTTTATCCCATTGAAGTTGACGTATATATAAATGTGAAATAAAGCTACTAAACGTCGTATATATATGAAATGAACGGTTAAGGTTAATTAGATGTTCATTATTCATAAAATATTTACAATTTCTGTCATGAACCTTAAATACAAAAGATGTCATACAAAAGAATGGTTGGATGAAATATACAAAACTAAATAACATCACTATGTATAATTTAAGTAAGCTTGTTATATTTTTCTTAAACAAGACTTCCGACAATATTGTTGGTTTGATTTGGATGCAATGCATGTGTGGTTTAAATACAAAATAAAAGAGCTTCCATGATCACTGGTTCTTTGTTTCTATATAATTTTCTTATCATTGTTATTAAGACCCTAATATCTTATTTGCTAGTAGGACAGATTTGATGTAACCCAACAACTGCAAGACCATATCAACATAATTAAACAACAAGAAGTGGAAAAGGCCAAAATATAGATAAAGAAAAGTATAAAAGTAATGTCTTAAAGGAAATATATAGAACGACGAATTAAAATAGAGAAGAAAAAGAGTAAAATATCAACAACGACACCAACTAAACCCATTGTTGGTTAGCTTGTGAAGGCGGACACTAATCATGAAGTGTTTGTTACGTGTATTCTGAATTATTGTTCTACCTCTACAAGACTACAACTAATCATGTTATTATCTTCCGTCTTTCTTTTTTTTGTAAAATAGTTTTTTTTTTTCTGAAGTTAAATACATAAGTCGAAATTATCATCTGCCGCCGTGAATGGTTTACATGAGAAGTTGTATTTGATAGACAATTTTTTTGTACATAAAACTATTTAAAAAAATCAGTAGTTTCATGCAGCTGTAGATTAACACATTGATTGCCTGGAGGAGACGTAAAAAACAATTGTGTGTAGCAAACGAAAATGATAGGGAAAATAATAATAATAGCTTGTATAGAAGATAATAAAAATGAAGATAAAGAGATAGAGAATCATTTTTCCAGCTGGAGAATGATGATGAAGAAGGTATGTCTCTTGTATTCCACGCAGCAAGACAAAGGGGTACTCTCAGGTTGACTTTTGTCAAGCACACGCTAAGGAAACATTATTACTGCTTTATCTGGTTTTTAATTTTAATAATTGTATAGGTAGTAATGTAGTGTTCTAATAATCATGCACTAGATTTTGACCCGCGCTTTTTAAGCGCGGGTTTATTTTTGGATTTAAACATATTTTTTTTTAAAAAAGTCTATAAATAATGTATAAATCTGAGAACATCTATCCGGAACCAAGAAACCCAACCGTACCAAACTGAACAAACAAAACTGAACCGAATTTCATGAATAACCGAGGAGATTCTATATTTATGGAACCAAAAAATCAAAACTATACCGAGAACCGAATAGATATATGGAATTCAAAATACAAATTATTTACCTAAAAAATTAATTATATCTATTTTTTAAATAACCAAATATTCTAAAAAATACTATATATAAACCAAATTAACAAAAAAAAATTATCAGTGGTTTCATATCCTAGTTGGACCCGCGGGCGAACCAGTAAACCCGTTGGCCGTATATAATTCAGACATGCTTATGTTTTTCATGTATAGCATTCTATCAAAGTATCTACTAATTAAATGATATATTTCCTCAAAATTCAAATTTAATGAAAACTCATTAATCAAAAATCTGATAAAAACCAAAAACCGTCATTAACCCGTGAACCGACACCTGTTGACCTGGTAAAGACCAATAAAATTTAATAATATTTTCTTAAATTTTATTTAACTTCTCTTACATTTTATAATAGTATATAAAACTGAATAAATTATTTGATTTTCATATAAAGTACATTTTTGGGATTGATTCATTTTTAATAGAATTAATCTGATAAAAAAATCTAGAAAATATATATTTGAACAAATACATAGATTCAGGAAAATACATGAAAATGGTGAGATTTAAATAAGTATATAATACATGGTTTATGGTATAGGGGTTTGGTTTGTATCGAAAATATACATAATGCTCTTAAACATATTTTGCAAGTTTTCATACATAGATTTTAAAATTACATGAATAACATACCAACAAATTTCATCACGACCATACTTTGAATTTTCATTTTTGGTTATTGATATAAGGTCAAACATACACGTACATGCATAATATTGATTTGTTTTGACTTTTTCCTTACTTAACGAAGTGAATAATAATGCACACAAAATACTTGTAAAAAACTATATTATATGCAAAAAATCGGGGTGATATAATGATAGGCATTTAGGTACGTAAGACATTATAATGCGATGAATGAATCTTAGTTTGAAATAAATATTAACCGAAATAAGTGGGGGTTATTCCCTTTTAATAATATTAATAATTGGATTAATTAAGGTAAGTATAAAATAAAGCATATTAAGTTTCTAGTGAATAGGTCCAACAACTTATATAAGTAGATTTTTTAGGACTCCTTCTCTTTTAATAGTATAGATAGAAAAATACATTTTCAAGATAAAAACATAATACATAAGAATTATGTTATTTTTAAAAATATAATATTATTAATATAAATATGTTTTAGTTATATATTTTATATCCTTATTTAAAATTTAAGTTTTATAGTAGAAAAATATATTTTCAAGATAACAACTTAATACTCGAGAATTATCTTATTTTCTAAAATATGATATTACTAATATAAATTTGTTTTAGAGAATTTGCATCCCATATACAAACTAAACCCCTAAATTAAATATCTACCCTCTTTCTCTCTTATCTCTCCTCCCTCCTCTCCTTATTTTTTCCATTGAAACCATGGCAAATCCCTAATATTGAGTTTATTTTGGTATATTGAGCAAATTTGCTCTTTGTTTTAATTATAAATAAATTATATATTAATATTAAAAATATGACAAATAACAAAATCGTGGAGGAGTTGACAAATTAGCAAATTTACTTCTTAAATAATAGTATTCAAAGATTTCAACTTAAATAACAAATAAATGTTATTCTTGCAACTGAAAAATATAAATAAATATAAAAGTGAAACTACCACAAAGATCACGTTAAACATATAAATCAAATTTATTGTTATTGCATATATTACTCTTTTTGGTATGTTAATAGTAAAATAAATTTAATAATTATTTTAAAATATGCCATGACATATTAAGTTTAAAAAAAATATAAATCACTTTTCTTATTTTCTATTAGAATATGTTTTAATATTTCAGTGTAAAGATAAATCTAATTAATATATGTGTATATATACTAATAATTATAAAATTTAATAAACAAGAAAACGATGTAGCTAAACACAAAATAAATAATGGAAATGTCTTTTCTTTTTCAAAACACGTTTTTCTTTTTTTAAGATAATTTTTATATCTTAATTTTAAGTTTTAAATATATAAAAATACATTTTCAAGATAAAAACATAATACATAAGAATTATGTTATTATTAAAAATATAATATTATTAATATAAATATGTTATAGTTATATATTTTATATCCTTATTTAAAATTTAAGTTTTATAGTAGAAACATCAAATAATTATCAAAATTACCTAGAATCATGGAGAAAAATTAACAAATTCACTTTTCAAATAATTGTTTTAATGATTTATATTCAATTATTAATAATATAATTTTTATATCTTAATTTAAAGTTTTATAATATGAAAATATATTTTCAACATAACAGCATAATACATAAGAACTATCTTTTTTATAAAGATATAAATTTTTAATATAAATTTGTTTTAGTTATATAATAATTTTTATATCTTAATTTAAATTTTAAGTTTTATATATAAAATATATTTCTAGATAACAACATAATTCACAAGAATAATCTTATTTTTTAAAATATGATATATTCGTATAAATTCGTTTTATTTATAAATAAATTATATATAAATATTAAAATATGATAAATAAATAAAATTACCTAAATATATGGAGAACATGACAACTAAGCAAATTTACTTCTTAAATAATAATATAGATATATGATAAAAGAAATATTTTTAATATATATTTAGTATGTCAACCATCCAATTAAAAGTTTGTTCACATGACGTCAAAATAGTTGAGTGCATCAGAGAAGGTAATATGCCTATCAGAAACTGTCAGCTTCCTTGAGGGATAATAATGTCATTTTGTACCATGCATATACACAATTTGCAAATCAAATTAAAACATTGCACGATTACCTAATTTCTTTCAACAATTTGTATATTGATTTCATTGAGCCTAATTTATAATATAGAAACATTAAAAAAAAAAAAACTTAAAAAAATATTCCTTTCAAAAAAATTGTTTCTTTCTCTCTTAAAAACAAGACGAGGCGAACTCAGAGCCTATACTTCACAATTATTTTTAGTTAAAGTTCAGGCTGGTTTTCTATATATTTTTTTTGTTAGACACTGTTCCTTTGTTTATTTTATCACTCTATCGCGGATGATGCTAGAAATAAATAAAAAAATATTTTTCAATCTTTGGTTTAAAAGTTTCTAAAGTTGTATTTGATTTTGCACGCTATTATTGCAAAACCGCTGAAAGATGTTTTTTCATGAATAAAAATCGTCCAGATAGTATTACGAATGGCACCGGTGATCAATTTCTGAGTAATTGTCTTTTCTTGTTGTTTTATTGAAATAATATTTGAAGTATAGCCAATGAAACTATTTTAAAGATGTTTTAAGTTTGAGTGAACCGAGAGTACATTTGTAACTTTTTGTGGTTTACAAAGTATGTTTTTTATTTCTTTTTCCGATTTCGGTACAAAAATTTCTGGCTCCGCCACTGCGTATAAGCCATGTTCTGGGGAAGCAAGAAACTGCTTCCAAGAGTCCTGATACAGAGGTTGGTTCAATAGCTGTTATATGATCGAGCACTTAGTCTTTCCTGTCTTCTGGTTTTAACTTAGTATGATTGTTTACTTAAAAAACAGAGGATGAAGATGGTTAACAATCACGTGGAGGAGATCACTCACAAAGAGACTAACTATAGTACTTATTAACCCTAATATTTATTATAATAGTACAAAAACATTTAGACAGTTTGATTTGGTTAAGCCTACTGTCTATGCAACGATTAGACGACTGAATAAAACGTACTTTTAGAAGAGTAGCACAAACAGATTTACATGTTTGAGTTTCAATACTAAAATGTCTGATAAAAAAAACTTTAATAGATTATTTTTATATATGCTTACAGGATGCTTCTTGTCATTGGTTACACATAGTTAACCACAACAAAACCAAACCAAATTGGTAAGCTTATTTTATTTTTATTCATTATATCATACTTTTTCATCGTATTTACTTGCGAAGCAAGTTTGATGCCTCCTCCTGGATAACCTTCCATGCCTCTTTTATGTGCTTCTCCTCTGTCAATGGCGCTCCTATGGAAAAACGTAAAAAGATTTTCCCCGAGAGAGCCTGTTTCCGACGCAAATCGATATATATATATGAGAACATTTCCTACTAAGATGAAAGAAGAACAAAAGAAAGAGAGAGAGAGAGAGTTGTTAGTACTTACAGTGTGAATAATAAAGAGTTTCCCTGAAGAGTTCACTGCCTCTAGAAGCTCCCGGTTTCGATCATTACACTTCTTTTCATCATTATCGACAGGAACCATACGGAAGCAGACAAGAGAAAAGATCCGAGGAGTGATAACCTCAAAGTTAGGATCTTGAGAGACGAGTTGTTCGAAAACTGTAGCCAGTTTAATATGGTTTCTTATATAGTTCTTCAAGGTCTCAGCTCCATAGAGTCTTAAAACCATCCATAGTTTCAATGATCTGTTAAAAACACAATATCAGTATATATGTATGCAGATGTACTCCTGAGAGAGAAATGACCTGAATCTTCGTGAGAGAGCGATTTGCCAATCTTTGTAATCAACAACCAAGTTTGCTTGAGAGGCCTTGTTTTGTAGATACTCTGGATTTGTTGAAAACGCTTCAGTGAGAGTAGACTGATCCTGCGTATCAAATTAATTTTGTTTCCATATTACAGAAAATTAAATGAACTGGTGTTGATTGACTGTTTCTTGAAAATTTGATTTTCAGAAAATTAAATGAACAAGTGTTTATACAATCTCTGATACCATATTCGATGCTATGTAAAATACTAAAATTCTTATTAATCTTAGAATGAATCATTTAGAAAGTACATATATGTGAGCTTAAATTTGCCACTCAGCTAACTACTGAATTTGTTATGCTAATTACTGCACCTGCATTTATCCCCTTTATACAATGTGTTATGTGTATAACAAATATCCACAATGATAAAGAGATTGAAGAGGGGACCATGACCAGACAAATTGTAAAGGGCCTGCGCTTATTAGAGAAAGTGAGACTAGAAAGAGGGCATATGCATATCATATGTACCTTCACCCAAAGTAGGGAACAATCAAAATTGGTGAGGAGCCATTTGTGAGCATTCATGTTAAAAGAGTCTGCAGTTTCAACTCCGTCAATGTACTGTCTATACTCTGGACATATACATGCACTTCCAGCGTACGCTGCGTCCACGTGAAACCACATCTCATTTCTCTGATGAGAATGCAATAAAGAGAAATAGCGTCAGTTTCTATGCCTTAATTTCTCTATGAAAATGACATCAAAATAATAATAATAATAATAAAAAAAGAATATTATCACGTTTGCGATCTTTCCTAGTGAAGCTAATGGATCAACTGCGCCTGAAGAAGTGGTTCCAACCTGGAATTAACAAAAGAAGCTTTCAGAGAACCTAATCTTCAAGAGGGTAACTACGTAACAGGTTGGCTAGTGCTTACATTAGCACCTAAGAAGAATGGAATCAATCCAGCTTCAAGATCCCGAGAAACGGCTTCTTGAAGCAATTCTGGACGCAGAGTATAATTTGTAGAGGAATCTGCTTTCAGCACCCTACAATTCTCCGGATGGATTCCGGCTATCTGTCACAAACATAAACCAGCAGAAACAAAGTTAGTTTCTTCTCACAACACTTCTTTGATCAAATCTGCAAAATTTTCACCTGACAAGCTTTCTGTAAAGATGAATGTGTCTGGTCAGAGGAGTACACAACGAGCTTCCCAAGCGCGTTCTTACCAACCCTTCTTAAGACCTTATCGCGTGCGGCAGTCATAGCAACATGAACCGATTCACTAGCTGACCCTTGGATAACTCCACCTCCATTTCCTACAAAATTTTTAGATTATGTCGAGATTAGTATAGTTCTTGAGCTTAATCTCTAAAGAATGTGTGTGATACCATGAACTCCACATCGAACTCGATGAGACATAAATAATACATAAAGATATTTGAACCAATCCACTAATTTTTAATTGGTTTAAGTTAAAAGCATATAATAACATGAACTTTCACATTGGGAGTAGCACAAGTAATTTTTTCTGTTCACCAATTCTCAATTGGTTTAAATTGAAAATTCATGATAACCCGAACTTAACACAATACAACTTAACCAACACTTAGCTAGAAGCAAAAGGATTGTTATGACAAGGTTTGATGTTTTTTTTTTTGGTAGTTATATAACCTTCGGATAAAAACTGCTCCGGTAGGTTGAGAAGTTTTGCAAGCCAATCAAGAACGATTATTTCGAGCTCAGTGGCAGCAGGAGAAGTTATCCAACTAAAACCAACAATTCCAAGACCCGTACTCAATATATCACCCAAGAACCCAGCAACGCTGCTGTTAGAAGGGTAAAAAGCAAAGAAACTTGGGCTCTGCCAGTGCGTTACTCCAGGCAATATCTTCGTTTTAACATCTGCAAATAACAAAACTCACATCAGATCTGTTTATGCTCAACGAAAAAAAGTATCAGAAATTATCCAAAAAAGCTGGAAGTGGGTATTCACCCTCAAGAACTTGTTCCAGCGTATCAGGGTGGTCTGGTGCTGAATCAGGCAAAAGGTTATGAAGATAACCAGGCTGTATCAGAGAGAAAAGTAATATATCAAGATTGTGCATAAACCAGAGAGCTTCAAACTTGTTCAGAAAGTATGAAAGTTTCTCAAGCCTAACTCTCACAATCCGAGTTGTACACAACATCGAACAGATTAAACTCACACACACACGCATCAAACTGATGTTAACAGAGAAACGACAGTGACCTGAACTTGGCTACGGACAGGGAATGATTCGATGGTTTTGTAATAATCGGCAACGAAATCCACCATTCGATGTCCGTACTCTCTTAGTTGCTCAGCGTCCATAGGCTTCAACACGTTCCTGCTACCATTTTCCCTGTTTCATAATATGAAAGACAGTAAGACATGATTTGTTCGATATTATGACAAAAAGGGATTTCCGAAGTTTCAAGAATTACATTTTTTGTTTTTCTTGCGTCGCTTTGAGTTCGTGTCTATAAAGCTTTGTGAATGGTTTGGGTTTCAGCTCTTTCGTATTTATAGGGAGATATAACTAATTCGAGGCATTAAATTTCAATTACTAAAACAGGGCACTAATATAAAATATTACACTAATGTTATAAACGTGAGAAATATGATTGTCAAGAATTCACTCACAGAAAATTGACGTTTTCGTTTTCGTGTCTACCTAAATTATGTGGAGTCCGCTAAATCTTACTTTTCATTTTTTTATATATAATCTATTTCAATTATCTGTAACTCGCACTATTGTTTTTTCCTCCCTCTATATAATAAATTTTCTCTATCGTATACTAATATTACTTCTTTTTTTGCGGATATAAAATTTCACCCTTATTTAAATTTCTCAGTACTATAAAATTATAAGTTATTTTATAATAATTAATACATATTTTTGGAAGTTAGCTGATTCGAACTCAGTTGGTTTGACAATCCCCTTTTTAACACCCGATAATACCCCTTATTAATACCCCTTCGCCCATCTCCCTTAAAAACTCCAGAGTGACCCATATTCCTTTTTAACTAGAGCCTCAATTTTTTTATTAAAAAATTATAGCTGTGAGTAAGAAAATGTAGATTTTGTGGGTCTTGTGGTAAATACTACTTAGGTCTAGAAAACCTTTACGGTTATGAAAAAATAAATATAATATATATATGTATATAATTTTTAATAATAAGAATTTCTTTGACATTCATAATAATATAATATTTAAAATTTAATAGATTTTTTTATTTTTATATTTTAAATACTTTTAGATATAAATAAAAAAATCATAATTTTTATTTACCATTCAATGCTTATTATTCGATTTTAAATATAGTTGTAAAATACTTAAATATCATTAACACTAATAAACAAAAATAAATTTTAAATAAGAATTTAAAAAAAAAATATTTTAATGATATTTAATAAAATAATTAAAAATGTTTTACTAAAACAATATTTTTAAAATAGATAACTAAAGTAGCGCATTTTTAACTCTAATTTTGGACTAAAAACACTTTTTCAGATATAGAATGATAAATTAAATTTAAAATATAATAATTGAAAAATTATCAATTAATAAACAACCTCTTGTTTAGATTTTATTTACAATATCTGTTACTTACATATAATATCTTTAATAAAAGTTATTAATAGTGTCAAAGAACCTATTGTAATTGATCAATTTGACAACATGACACAAAATCTGAGTTTGAACTCAAATATATATTGAATATATATATATATATATATCTGAAATTCAATCAAATACAAAAGTAACATAACAATAATGAAACTACAGTTAATTCTTTATGACTAAACAAAAAAACGATAAACAATTTTATCATTTTAATATTTGAGAATACTTAAACCATAAACCATAAATAAAGTCTTTTGAGAATACTTCTCATACAAATATATTCATGTATTTATTTTTCTAATTAATTTAGAAAAATATTTTAAAAATTGAAGGAAAATAATTGAAATCATGTAACTAAAACAATTTTACATCATATAAACTGAAATCTAATAATAGTTAATAGTTATGAAATAGAAGATCGAGGCTTTAATTGGTGACTCTTGAATGAATGGAAAAAATGAACGAAAGAATGAACAAAAATTTGTTCATTTTTTTCCCATCAAAATTAGGGAGGAATAATTCCATTTATAAATTTATTCATCTTTGGGGAATTTTGAGGAATAAAGTGGGATCCATTTGATAATAATTTGACTAAATATTCAATTTAACTGGTATAAAATTTAAGAAACAAAGAATTCCCCACATTTTTTTCCTAAAACACGGTCACCAGTTAGAGCTCATATATAGAAGGTAAGTCTTCATTTTTAGAGTTTGGTAACATATTTTCAACCAACGTTTGTGTGTTTAGGGTTATATTTTGGATTTTTAGATTTTTTAAAAGAAAATTACCATTAGACTTTTTCATGAAGTCTTCTACACCGTATATTAAGGAAAATAATCAACAAATACATGATGAGATAGGCAAATCAACAAATGCTCAACCCACCCCTCAACCCACCCCGCAGTGGATTGAGTCATTTCTTCGACTCAAAATTTTGACCCGCCTTATCTGAAAAGAGAATATATATTTTTCCGCACCCTCCCTGATTAATTTTGCGTATAACCCACAAGACCCCCTGATAATTATTAAATAATAAATATAATTATTTGATTAATTTTTTCTAAAATAATATAAATAATAATATTTTTTTTTAAATAATTATTTATAAGGAATTTTAGTATATTTTCACAAAAATAAACATTTTTTTAAAAAGTCTTTTTTCTATTTTTGTGGGTTAGCAGATTCCCACGATTTAAATTAGACTAAACCGCATCCGTCCTGCATAAAATACATTTGACCCACATCCACAATTTAATTTTTTTCAATCGATCGATCCGCACCCGCTCTACAGTAGATCAAATGGAACGGAACACGCAGGCTATGATTAAAATTCCGAACACTATGTTCTATTAATCATTCTCTTGCTTATTAGTTTAGCTTACAAAATTGAATATTTTTATGATTCATCTTTCTCTATGTACAAACTTAGATCATTAGATTTTTTATGTTTATATATTTAGACTCAATGTGATTATATGGGTTTTGTTTTTGTTTTAGATGTAAAAATATTTTCACATTTTCATATATTTTTAACATTTTTTATATGCAGATTTTTTATATTTCAAAATTTCAAATCTGAATCTGATGCAACATACTTCATCACTAGACTTCATCTGCAGACTTGAGCCGTCTCGAGCAACTTCAGCAGAATTCATCGACAGAATTATCAACAAACTTTATTAATATTTTCTCACAAAAAATATTAAATTGTAAATTATTATTGATGCAATATTAATTTAAATTTTTTATATGTTTTTAGTTATTGTAACTTTTAATTCTGTAAGCTACTATTAAATATCAATTTTATATAGTTTCTTATATCATTATTGGCAAAAATTAAATAATTTAGTATTTATAAATTACTTTAATTATTATGTAACGTTAACATACCAATTATAACAAAAAAACTAGAGTCATAATCACACAATTTTAACTATCACATATTTACCAAATAACATTTGACATAACTTCAACATAACAAAAATTTGTGTTCATAAGTTTAATATAACAAAAATTCATAATAATACTTGACATAATATTAATAAAATTTATTATTAAATATAATTTAAGCTTCTTTTTTTTTACTGCACATGGTGTAGGAAAAAAACTAAGTTGATATTATAAACGGTGTGGAATTGGTGTGTGGGTAGAAGGTACCACGAGCAGAAGAGGAAGGGTGGGTAGAAGGTACCACGAGCCCTATGTCCCACACATCTATCCAGAAGCAAGTGTAGTTCACCGATTCCACCAAATGCTCATATCTCTCAGAAAATATCGGTTTATGCGGATTGCAAAATGAGTGCAGTTTTGATAAAATAAGCAGTACAAAATAGTGTTTGATTAGTGAAAATTTATCTGCGGTTTTGATTAAGAAAAATTAAAATAATAATGGTTTTTATAGTTTTTCAATTTCAATTTTTAATTTAAATAAGAAAATAAGTTTTGATATTGAACCAAATCACTAGTTTTGACGTGTTTAACATATTATTATTATTATTATTATTATTATTATTATTATTATTATTATTATTATTATTTTAATTTAATCAAATATGTTTTAAAAACAATTCATTACTGAATAAAGTAACAAGTGGTTTAACAGTTCGGTTCGACTTAATTTCAAAATACTGGTTAAACTAAATATAATTAATATTTTAGATATAAAATTACATATACTATAGAAATAAGTTAATATTTGATTAAAATTTTATTGAATAATTGCGTAACTTTTTTAGTTAAAATAATTTTAGGTTACGACTTATTTTATTTTTCATTTTCAGAAGGAAAAAGTACAGTACAACCTCTATAAATTAATACTCGATAAAAACCCAAATATAGAGTAAAGTCCTCAACATATAAATAATATTATATACCAAATATCTAAAACTAATATGAAAATGAGTCATGTTTGAATTTGAATGAAAACATGTAGGTATTTAAGAATTTTACAATTTTTTGAGTATTTGAAAATATTTACATTTGGATATTTGAATAATTTTGGACATTTATGGTGTTCTAGCTATTTCTTATATATTAGATAAAAAAAAGAATTGATACATTTAAATATATATATATATATAATTAAATGTTTGAATATTTTGGATATCTTGCATATTTGGTTCATACTGGTTCTAGGTTTTTTTTTGGATATTAAAATTTTGGATTATTTTGAGTATTTTACTAGTTTTGGTTTAGCTTTGGTATTATTTCATATAAAGTTCAATTTGGTTTTTCAGATTCTGATTTTTTTGTTCAATCCTTATAAATTTTTGTCAGATTAGTTGTTTTATTTCACTAATTAATTACTAATTATTTTTTTATTAATTACTTCAAAATATTATTTCCTATGTTTCATCATAAGTGTTATTTTAGAGTTGTGCATACAGATTAAGGAAATAATTAATTTTACATATTTCCTATATAAAATCAAAATTATCTATAGACTTAACCATATTTTAACCAATAAAATTGCATATAAAATTTATAAATTTTGTATTAAAAATTAAAAATAATATTTATTTTGTAATGAAAAATTCTTTATACCAATCTATATAATAATAGTACACTTTTGAAGCTCCTCAGCGTGTCCACGTCAGCAAGTTTGCGGGCTCCACGTGTGTTATTAGGTAAAACAAAAACGTATAATATTATATAAGATTGAATGTTATCGATGAGTGATGAAATGGCCCAGTGGTGTAAGTTGGTGACGAGAAGTTGATACCTTGAGTGCGCGGATTCGAAACGCAGTGCTTGCATGTTATTTTTTTTTTTTAATTTGGGCTTTTCGGGATACCTAAAAGTTTAGGGAGATTCAAAATGATTTTTTATACTGGTTGTTGGGATACAAAA